TGGAAGTGGCTATGGCTCAGGTTATGGCTCCGGCCTTGGTTCAGGCTATGGCTCAAGTTCTGGATCAACAATGTCAAGTCTGTATGGAGGATCAGGAGGTAGTACTTTCGGAGGATTTCCATCAACCCTATTCGGTTCTGGATATGGTAATCATATGGGTAGTACTTTGTCTAGTTTATATGGATCAGCTATGCCAGCGGGCGCCGGTGGAGTCTTATCCAGTTTAGCCGGTGGATTATCATCGCTGACTGGTGGGAGTGGTGGGGCTGGTGGTAGTGGTGGGGCCGGTGGCGGCGGTGGATTTGGTGTGCTGAACACATTGGGCATGTTATTCGGTTGATGATGAGTGAATATTTTCCACCATGAGACAATCTGATCTTCAATCCGATTCACGATCGCTCAAATATAGAAAAAGAAAGTCAAGCGCATCATTTTTATCATTTATCAATCGTTGACTACCGGTATTTTTTTCTCTTGCTTTTTGACAATTTTATCGCATTACACATGTAATTGACATTTTCCAATGACCAAGTAATTATTAAAGAAGTGAAGAATTTTTGTTTGGTTTTTGTTTGGTGATTTGAATATAATTGCATTGAATTAAAAATAACAATCAAAACCAGTGACCGGTGATGGATTTAATGAGAAGGGTCCAGGTTTGAAGGGTCATAATGGGTCATAATCAAATAATCTCTTATTGAACCATTCAAGATTTATGGCCTGATTGAAGGACAATATTGTCTTGTTATCTTAAATTGTGCATAGACCACACCAACAACAAAAAAAAGGTGTGTGGATCATTCAAAAGGATGAGTGGGAGTGGAAAGGGAGCATTATCAGTTTGGTTATATCTAGCTATAGCTATGGTTTTGCTCAAAATGAAGCCAATTTTGCTTGCTGAATTGAGATTGTGTGTGTGGGCGGCAGTGTGTGAATATCAATGTAATAAACAATGAACATTTTGTTGAAAAAGCAAAAATACTGTCCATTGTAATCAAATCATCATCAATCAATCAATCAATCAATGTGGATAATAATAAAATATACATAATCTATTTATGCTTTGTGTGGCAGTGTACATGTGGATGGGGTGTGTATCTCTTTGGCGACATT